CGACCACCTAGCGAGCCTCGCGATGGAGGCCAGCCGCGCCACTGGCCACGCAGGCGACGCTCGGCCTCATCCTGGAGCCGCGCCCTCTGGCGGTCGGAGCACTGCCCACTACGCTGGCCGCCGCGACCCCATCGGCGACCGCGACCGCGTCGGCAGCGGAGTTTGCGGCAACATTGCGCCCGCTGCCCCTGGCGGCCCGGGCGCGCTAGGCAACCTCTCCATGACGGCGCAGCATTACCGCAGGGAACCCTTGTTCCACCACCTACAGACGCGCTGCCAGGACCCACGCCTCTTGGCAGCACCGACACTCCGCCAGCACCACCATCTTCCAATTCGCGCGAGTGCGTGGCCCCGCTTGCCGCCCAAGGGGCTCAGGTTTTTTTGCCCGATTGAGACGGTCGGAGACCGGAGACTTTCATCGTCGCCTCAGACTTGCTAGAACGTCGGCGCCCACAGTAGCGGAGGTTGGCGGAGCAACAGACTGCGGAGGCCCAGCGGCAGAGGGGCTGGACTTCGACGCAGCGGCGGCATCACCAGGTGCCGCCCAAGCACATCGAGCCTGCCAGGTTGCGCGTCCACCTGAGCAAGAGCTGGAGCACGCCTCTGTCTGTATGTCGCCTGGGTCGGCGACGAGGCCGGGGGCTTCCCCCGCGACCCCGCAGGCCCGAGCTGCCGACGAACGCGGCGCGCATCCGCCCTCTGTCTTGACGTCGCCCGAGGACGCCGCGGGGGCGCCCCCCCCCCCCCCCCCCCCGCCCGCGACTTCGCACGTGCGCGATGCGCGCGCAATATACTCCTACGCGAGGGATGCCTCTGTCTCCTGTCGCCGCCACTACGTCGCCCGACGCTGCGACGGAGGCGGGCGCTTCCCCCGCGACCTCGCAACGACGCGCAGCCGACTCACGAGAAGCACCTCTAATTGCGCTTGCGCTAGGGCAAGACACTGTCCATGTGCCGCCTGGCTCCACGACGGAGGTGGTGGCCTCCCCGCCGACCTGGCCTTAGGATGCGGCTGCGGCGCTCGCAGCCAACGTGGCGATGATGACGAAGTCCTTCGCGAGCGACGGCGGGCAAACCCTGGCGGGGCCAGCGGGGAGTAGCGACGACGGCCCCCCGCTGACTCTTGATCGGCGCCAGGCCAGTGGAGGCGGCATGGAGATGGGATCCAGCCCCCACCGTTGCAAGAGCATACTGCTTCAGGGGGGGAGCAGCACCACGCTGACCCACGACGGGACCGACGCGGACATCTATGTAGTCTTCCCCATCAACGACGACGAGACGCCGACCCACGAGGACACGGTCCTCGACTTGGTTGGCGTTCCGCCCGCTGGCTCACAGTTCGACATCTACGAGGGTGGCGCCGTCGTCGACCTCGGCCGCCCGCAGGCGCCCGCTGACGAGGACGAGGCGCTGACAGGCGGGCCCCGCCGCGGCCGCGGCTGCTGTAGCAGCAGGCAGCGCCCGCGCTCTGGGGTCGCTCGCCCCTCCTCCTGCCCCCGTCCGTCTTGCAGTCCGGCTCCGTTCGGTGGCCCTTTACTTCGGCGACCTGAGCGCCATCCATGTCGCCGAACCCCGTCCACCCGAGCTCCGACCCTGAATGCGCCCCATGTCGCCCGCCTGTTCCACGGGCTCTTGCGGTCGCTCCCTAACCCGAGCACCCCCTCCCGCCCGCGGCGGAGTCGGCCGAGCCCTGACAGTCGGAGAACACCGTGGCTGGGGCCGCGCAGCACCTCGCGAGCACGTGGAGCGCGTAGTTCCCACCGTGCCGGGCTAGCTGCATCGACGCCTACCTCAGGGGCACGGTGCAGTACCAGGCACCCACCAGCCTGCCAGTGGTAGAGTCAGCAAGGCCCACGCAGCCGCCATCCTTTGCGCCGTCCTTGCCACCGCATTGCTGACCACCGCGGGGCCGTGCCACGACATGTCCATCTCCTCGCCTGCCGGCACCTCCATCACGCACACCGACATCGTCTTGGTACCCGCCCACGCCATCGTAATCACTATGACGTCTGCTGGGCTCTTCGCCTGATGGCATGAGCCCTTCCTCTCTGGCAGCCTCCTCGCCTCCTCCTAGCAGCTCGCCATGGCCGCTTGCGGCAACACCACGGACGGCTCCGCCACGCACGTGGCCCAGCCCCTCGCCGTCTCCTCCGCCACCGGCAGAGCACGACCGGCTCCCTGGCCGCGGCTCGGATGGACGCCCTGAGATTGAACCTGGGCGTCACCATCGCTCTTCTGGGCAGCCACCTCTCCGCCCCGCACGCCTGGAGGCGCAGCCTGTGCACCTTGCCGTCGAGGAGGCCCGCCACTTCTTTCAGGCAGGCCGCGGAGGCACGGCTCGCAGCGTCAGCGTTGGCCGGCTATCCCCCCCCCTGCCTCGCCGCGCGCGAGGAGGCCGCAGGGCGTGTTGGCACAGAGGGCGCACCTCTACCCTGGGCAGCATCACGCCGAGGCCCGCCACTCCCGCTCCCCATCGGTGCCGTCGCCGTGGGGCTGTCCCTCCGAGGATGCCCAGCTCGGGCCGCTCCCGCCGCCCGCAGCGCCTGCTCGTCGCAACCGTCGCGGGCCGCTCGCCTTGCCTTCCCGCAGCGCCTCCGTTTCCCATCGGTGGCGTCTCCTCCAACGATAACGAGAACGAGAGTCTTTGCCTGGTCCTTACAGATCCGTTGTTGCCCTTGCTTGTGCTATCGCTATCGTTGTGTTCCATGTTTTCGGTACCACTACCGGTGTTATCGTTGATCGTTGCGGTCGTTGTTTCGGTGGGGGGCATTGGATAAGGGAACCTTCGACAAGGAACCCAGAATGTGGAAGCCAGGGGACCAGCACTCGTGGACTGGCCGTGGAGATCATCGCCGCCCTCATCAGATAAGCAAGCCTCCAGGGTCTTAAGCCTCCTGGGCACATTCCGTAACCAGCGCCCGCACCGTAGTATTGTTATCGTTGTTGCCGTTGTTGTTATCGTGATGGATGTTATCGCTGTGATCGTTATCGTTGAGGTTGCGTGCTCTAGCCTCTCCTATGCGACGGCCGCCGCCATCGCCGCCGCGGTGGTTGCGTCGCTTGCCATGAACTTGGTCTTCTGCCACGACGCCACCACTTCACCTCCAGTTTCTCGCTGACGGTCTGCCCCCACTTGGACCGCCTCGCCATCATGTCGTCGATGTGCAGCAGCCGCACCAACTCCTGGGGGACGCCAATCAGGTGTCGCTCACGCCTCAGCGCTTCGGCGCCTCGTGGGGCACGCGCTCGTAGAATGTGGCCCAGTCCAGGAGCCCCGAGCCGTGCGCGAAGCCGACCTTGCGCGCGCGGCAAGCCACCAGGTAGGAGACCATGCCCGCCATGTCGCACGGCGCCCGCGCGCCGTCCCAGCAGTGGTCGTGGTCTGGCAGCTCTGCCTCCCAGCTCTGCACCAGCGGCTGGCGCAGGCGGTTCCACAGCCTCTTGCAGAGCATCGTGAGGCGGATCGGCCTTACTCTGCTTTCCGCCTTCAGCACGACGACGATGACGACGGCGACGACATCGGCGACGACATCGGCGACGACGACGACGACGACGACGACGACGACGACGACGACGACGGCGACGGCGGCGGCGGTGGCCGCCACGTCAGCAAGTAACAGTAACAAACACGACGACGAGGACGGCGGCCGGCGGCGACGACGACAGACGACGCAGCCCATTCTGCTTGAGCGATCCCAGCCCGACCCAGCGTGGGCAGGGAGGGGGATGGAGGGAAGGAAAGGGCAAGGCACAGAGAGAGAGGGAGGGGAAACGGACAGGAGGGAAGAAGAGGGGGGGCGGCGCCGAGCCGGCGCGCCGACAACTGCGACAGCTGCCCTCCGGGGTCCCCTGCGGCTGGGGGAGGCCCCTGGGCCGAGGGCACCGTTGGCCCTCGGAGAACGGACAGGCTGAGCGGCAGCGGCTGGCGTGCCGAGTCGGCCCCCTGCCGGACATCCCATGTCCGCTCCCAGGCCCAGCCTCGCCGACTCCTACCGGCCCGCCTCCGACCCCGCTGCCAGGGGGACATGCGTGCGAACATCCTGGAGCGCGCCGAAGCGCCACTCTCGGGAATTCAACTCCACGAGTCAACCAGACGCTGTTGCTTCTTTCGGGGGTGGACAGAACCCCCAACAGTGACACGTCGATTAGTGAATTGTCCGTTTTCGGTTCTCGAGAGGGCGCCGTGGCCGTTACTTTCCAGGCTTGCGCCCGCCAGGTTTGGGCCTCAGGTCGTTTTCACTAAACCACGTTTTACCAAAGGGGGGTCTGTCCATCCCCGATTCTTGAAGAATCAGACACTGTTGCTTCTTGAATCGGGGGAGCGGGAGGAGGGAGGGAGGGAGAGTGGAGCAGGACCGTCCCGTCGGGCCCGTCCCGACCCGTCGAGACCCAGCCTGCCCAAGCTTCGAGCTCACAGGGGACGGAGGGGTGGGGATGGAGGGAGGGAGGGAGGGGCGGGAGAGACGAAAGAACTTGGGGCAGGTTTCTCCTCCTGTTCCTCCTCCTCCTCCTCCGCCGCCTCCTCCGCCTCCTCCTCCGCCTCCTCCGCCTCCTCCTCCGCCTCACCCCTTTTAGTGCTGGGGCGTAGGGAGGAGAGAGGGATGGAAGACGAGATGAAGATGGAGTGATGGAGAGGCATGGGAAGGAGGAGGAGGCGGAGGAGGAGGAGGATCATGGCGAGGTGCGTACCAGGAAGAGGAGGGGGATATCATTGAGGGGAGGCGATGAGCAGGACGAGGCACTGAGGGTGGGACGTGGCGGACCAGGGGGTACAATGGAGGATGAGGAGTTGGAGGAAGAGGCAGAGGAAGGGGCCGGCAGAGAAGGGAGAGATGACGAGGTGGAGGAGGAGCAAGGAGGCGGGGGAGAAAGGAAACCCTCGGCCCCCTATAAACCCCCCCCCTCCCTCCCCCGCCTCGCCCTCCTTGTCCCTCCCCTCCTTCCCCCCCCCCTCGAGGCGGAGGGGCCTCCCCGTCCCACCCCGAGCGTGCCGCGGCGAGGAGTTCCTGCCTCCCGGAGCAGCTCCCGCGGTGGGCCCCCCGCGCAGCGACGGCAGCGATGTCCTGCCGCCGCGGGGGGGGGGCAGGAGGGCCGCGGCCGGCGCAGAGGCCTCGGGAGGGGGAGGGAGAGGGCCAGTGCTGGACCTGAGCGGCGTGTTTCGTCCTCGTTTCGTTTTCGTTGTCCCTCGTTCTGTCTTCAGTATCCCCCGTTGCCGCAAAAAACGACGTCGAGACGACGACGGCCCACGAAGTCGCCCCAAAAACCGTTTGGGTCCAGCCCCGCGAAGCACCACGGAGGGTGCCCGGCCGTTCTCGGCCCCTGCGGGCCTCTTGTCCGCCCCTCGGGGCCGACAAGCGACAACGGTTCGGGAGGAGCAGCCGGTCCCGGGGAAGGGGGTCGAGGCCTTTGGGAGTCCATGCCGTGGAGAGGCACGGCGTCGGGGGTCGAAGGGGGAAGCTCAGGAGCCGGAGGGGTGGGAGGAGGACAGGGGCGGGAGGGCGGGAGGAAGGAGTTGGGAGAAGGGCGGGAGGAGAAGGAGAGGAGGAGGAGGAGCGTATAGTCAGGGGGCAGCAGCGATGCTGCGATACACACCCTCCAGCCTCAAGTTCCTTCAGAGGTCCTTGCAATCCTTCCTTCTCGCTGCAGCCCAAGCGCCCCGGTGAAGGACGATCACCCGATCGGCTCTCCATTTAGGTGGGAGCACCCATTCTGGAACGGACTCGCCTTGCATACTCTTAGCGAGTTTTGTAAGGGATGCGGAAGGTGGGGTGCTATATGTTTACAGTTCATCGGGGTGTCCAGCGAGATCCCGGTTTGAGGAGGAGCTGCCCCTCCTCCCCCCTCTATGTGACAGCTACCTATCTACACAGTTATACACTGACACACGCACGCACGCACACGCACACACACACACACACACACACACACACACACACACACACACCCACGCACGCACGCACGCACGCACGCACGCACGCACGCACGCACGCACGCACGCACGCACGCACGCACGCACGCACGCACGCACCCACGCACATGCACGCACGCACGCACGCACGCACGCACGCACGCACGCACGCACGCACGCACGCACGCACGCACGCACGCACGCACGCACGCACTGACACGCGCACCCACACACACTGACACACACACACACACACTTTTTTGCAGTTGTGTCACCTAGGCATCTTCACTTCACACGGGCGGCATTCGACCGCCCGAGAAGCGCGAAGGAAGAGGGTCGCGGCAGGAGGATGTGGATGGGAAGGCGAGCAAAAGGAGCAGATATTGCAAGCCAGTTTTTGAGCAAACAGCAGAGGGAAAACATCGCGGGGCGAGGGCTCCTGCGCGTTCCTACTTCCTGGTGTGACCAAGAGGCGATGCGTGTGAGGGCTGCTGGGACAAAAGTTGCACTGGATCGAGGCCAACAGTAGGACTTCTAGCGGCAGTGGAATTTGACGGCCGTGGCTATAGCGTTATGGCACTGGGGACCAGCGGAGATCACGACGGCGACAACGGCTCTCTCGCCGGCTGTGGGGCCGCATCTGTCCAGAGAAGGTCTTGTGTCTCCGACTGTACGCGCAGAAGTGAACGTTTAAATTTCATCGGATGTGGAAGTTACTCGACATGCCTTTCTCCTGGAGCCAAATCCCGTCACTTTCACAGTCAAAGAAAGTCGTCTCAAAGTCTATAACACGTATGTTACACTGGTGGTTCACAGCACGATTACGAATCCCCAGTGTCAGGCCTCCTCGACTTACGTTCACGGTGTCCTTCACACCCCGCCCCCTCTTATTATCATGCTCGTCTCATTGTTATTCTTTTTTCGTAGCATCATTATGTTCGTCTTATTGTTACTCGTACTGGTCAACATGTTTCATCCTCGTTGTCGTCGTCACATTGCATACTGTCGGTGTGTGTTAGTGTCATGATGTGGCTCCCAGGCCGCGCAAGCGCGGATGTGCATACTCTTGACACGCATGTGAATCTGTGTCTGTCGGGTAGGACAGCATGTGATAACAGGTTGATACCAATGTCTATCTCAAGATCCCCTCACACTGCACAGCGTCGGCTGCAATCGGCGGGCCTCAAAGATGGCAGAGATGTGCGGGGTTCCAGAAAGGGTCTTGCCCTTTGTGGGCCCCAGAAACGGCAGGGCCGTTTTTTCACCGTTTCCAAAAAAATGTCCCTTGAAAATGGAAACGGCAAAAATACGGCGACCAGAACGGGAAACAAAAACGGCTCCAGGATTGGAACCGGAGCCGGAACCGGTCCAAAAAACGGCAAAACGGAACCGGTAACAGGAACGGCGTCGGAACTGGCAACAAAAACGGCAAAACGGACCCGGTAAAACAACGGCCCTGTCGTTTCCAGGGCCCACCAAGGTCTTGCCTTCGAGGATGGAAGGAGTTGTCACCTTCGAGAAAAGGGGTTCCAGAAAGGGTCTTGCCTTCGAGGATGGAAGGAGTTGCCACCTCTTCCTCGGACGATTCGCGGCGGAAGGGCGGCGGGGGGTCGACGGGAGGGAAGCGAGGGGGCCGCGGGGGCCGCCTCCGCTGGCGGGCGCCCGCGGGAAAGCTGGCGGAAGGGCGGCGGAGGGCGGCGGAAGTAAAGCATGCGCCCCCAAGAGTCACCACCCACCAAACCACCCCAACCCAACCCGAAGGCCCCAATATATCCTCGATTTCCAGTGGGGGGGGGGTCGTGGAACATCGAGAGAACACGTATGGAACCCGTACCCCCCCCAACCCGAAATTCGGGTCTTCGGGTTGGGTTGGGGGTGGTCTGGTAGGTAGTCAAAGAGAGGACATGTGTTTCGGTTCAGGGTTTCCGAAATCCGCCATCTGTTACGATCCGTTGGGATATATGATCCAGGTCCGGGCCCCCCCCCCAACCATGCTGATGGCATCGGCCTCTCCTCCCCCCACGATGACTTCCTCCCCCCCCCCTGTGGGTGTGGTGGTGCTGTGGGTGTGGCGTGTGGCGTGTTACTGTAAGTGTTACTGTGGTGCTCCAGGGTCGTCGTCGCCGTCGCCATCGTCGTCGTGGTTGTCGTCGCCGTTGTCGTCGTCGTCGTCGTCGTCGTCGTCGTCGTCGTCGTCGTCGTCGTCGTCGTCGTCGTGGTCGTCGCCCCCCCCCCATCCCATCTGGGGGTGAGGGGTGGGCCCGTGGGTCCTAGGACCCATCCCATCTGGGAGGGGGCGCGGGGGGCGGCGTGGGCCCTCGATCCGGGATCACATATCTCAACGCGTTCGGCAGATAGGAACTTTCAGCCTGACATGCGACAGGGTTTTGAGTACGTTCGGCTCCTTTGCACGAGCTCGTGGTGCATTGCTTTGCCCGTCATCCACGGAGCAGAGCCCGTTGGCCACCGCACGACGAAGCGCTACGACGGGCGCGGGCGTCAGCGTTTTGGCCCCGTGCCGTGCGCGCGCTCGCCGCGCGCTCGCGAGGTTCCCGGCACAGCCCAGCAGCTCGAGCCGCCCGAGCACGTCTGGTTCGTCATCCATGCGGAGGGGGGGAGGGAGAGGGAGAGGAAGAGAAGGAGGAGGAGGACGAGGAGGAGGAGGAGAAGGAGGGAGGGAGGAGGAGAGGAGGAGGAGGAGGAGGAGGAGGAGGACAAGGGGGGGAGAAGGAGGAGGAGGAGGAGGAGGAGGAGGAGGAGGAGGAGAGGAGGAGGAGGAGGAGGAGGAGGAGGAGGAGGGGCAGCCGCAGTGGTCGGGTCAGTGGGGGGGGGTCGGCGAGGAGGTCGGCTGAAGGCGCGCGAGAGCCAGGCCCTGCCCGTCGGCTCGCTGGCCTGGCCCCAGGGCCTAAGGGCAGCCCCATCTTTTCCAGCCGAGTCTACGCGAGGAGGAGTGCGCGAGGACGACGAAGGAGGAGGGTCGGGAGGCTGGAGGGAGCGAGGGAGCGAGAGAGAGAGAGAGGGAGGGAGGCAGAGGGAATAACACACAAGAACAACTGGGGAGCTGCGCCTCCAACAGGTTACAGAGAGAGAGAGAGGGCATCAAGAGCGGCATCAACAGCCCGATGGGCTGCACAGCTCAGCGGGGGGAGGCAGACTACGATCTGCTCTCGAGGGACCTGCCGAGCTTCCGCCACATCGTCACCAGGACCGCCTCCAGTCGAGGTCTTGCTCGTCCAGTGTCTCGGCCGCCTGCTCCACATTCCCTGCTGCGTCCTCTCTGTCTACTCCTCCCTGCCCCTCCCCGACTTCCTCCATCCTTCCCCCGCCCGTATCCCTCATCCCTAAACCTTCGCTCTCGACCCCACCGTTCAGCCTGTGCAAACAGCTTGCGTGCAGCACGGCTGGGCCGCGTTTGCCCGGCGAGCCCATCTGGAACGCGGAGAGCTGCCAGGGACGGCCTGGTCTCTCCCCCGCCCCCTTCCCCTGCAGAGCGACCCGACTCCCTGGCGGCGGCGGGGGAAGGATGAGGAGGAGGAGGAGGAGGAGGCGGAGGAGGAGGAGGAGGAGGCGGAGGAGGAGGAGGAGGAGGAGGAGGAGGAGGAGGAGGGGGAGGAGGAGGAGGAGGAGGAGGAGGAGGAGGAAAAGCGCGCAGGCAGATTGCCCCCAGGCACTGCCAAGAAGAAGCGAGCCGCGCCCTCGCCAAAAGCAGCCCGCGGCCTCCCCTGCCGGCTCGGCTCACTGGCAGCAGGCCCGCGTTTCTTTCCTGCTTCTGATGTCCCAACCTATTTCCAGCCTCGATCACCAGAAAGCGTTTCGAGCACCAAGCGAGTGCCGACACTGGAGGCTGTTCACGCGCCGGGCCCTGCGAGGCGATGCTCGCTTGCTCGCTCGACACCGTCCCGATGCTTCTCTTCTGGGTGCTCCGGAATGACCTCTGGGGGTGTGGTCCTCTATCGGGGGCGGAAAAGAGGGGGGTGATGACTAGGGGGGGTGGATATCATGGCGGGGGGCCATGATATTTCCCAGATTTCATGGCGCCTCTCTTCTTATTTCACCACGTCCCTGGCCCCCCGCTGGGCCGCGCTCATGCCGCCCGTCATGATTTGCCCCCCCCCCTCTTGGACACCCCCCTCTTGGCCGCCCCCGACTCGAGGGCAATGGGAGCAACATAGCCCTCGGGTCGTGCCTGGGCGCCCCGAGCTCGCGCGGGCGGCAGCGCGGCACGACCTCGGCGGAGCCACCCGGCGCACGGGGCGCCCACGGGCGCCTGCGAGGCGGCACCGGCGGCCACGTCGAGCCGCCTCGGCGGACCCGCCCCGCGCGCGGGGAACCCTCCGCCCGCTCCCCGCTCCGGGCCGCTGCCAGGTGGCCTCCCTGCCTCCCCGGGGCGAGGCCGGTGCCGGCGGCCCCGTCGCCGCAGCGGCGGCCTCGCGCCCTGCCGAGGACCCCCC